CGTGAAGCATCCCCCTCTGCGACAAGAGGTCCGGATTGGACCTTTTGCTGCAGCGGCAGAAGCATCCAACCGTAGTGGTGTGCAGTACGAAGACTACGGCCGTCACGAGGTAGAAACGTAAACTCTCTCAAGCGGCAAGAACGGAAGAAAGGATCATGCTTGTAGATCTCTTGCGAATTTTGCGACATTGATGCAAAAGCTCGCAAACAGAAGTCACCACGTTTCCACTTCTGCCAAAACGAAGCGATTTGCCCACCAAGGCCACTGCAGGATGATCCGGAAGAGCAGGTGCAGCCTCAAGCTGGCTGCTTCCGGGATGGACTCAGAGTTTGCATCTACAGGTTGTCTCCCGCCTTGCTCGCCTTTGGCGACAACACGTTAGGGAACAGGGTGAGAAGCTCGGGCGAGCTTAATTGCCTCGTGCAGCTTGCCTCGAGTCATGATGTCTCGCCATGACTCAGTACGGCCCAAGGGAAGGGGCCAGGTCCGAAGGACCGCCAAAGGATGCCGAAGCTGTTTGGCCCGGCTTGGCTTGGCCATGGCCCCGAGCCTTCCTGGCGAAGTCTTGCAGCCGGTCCTCGAGTTCTTAGGCACCAGCCTTTCCACTGCCGTGCCCTGTTGCCACGGCACATCGCAAGCAGCCTCGCAAGGCAAGAGCTGAGGGCATCAAGGGCCGGAGGTAGCAAAAATTGGAGTCAAAGCATGTGCAGAGAAGATGTGTGTTGGGAAGGCCTGGAATTGCCACAGCGATCCACAGATCCCCACTATGCCAGCTCCGACCTTGCAACAGGAAATCAACGACGAGCCTAGGAATGAAAGCAAAACCCGAGACTCCGTGACGGCGAGCTTGGAATTCCTAGCAACCTCTCAGCTTGAAGCTGACGTGTGTTTCACTCGTAGCCTTTCTGCAGCTTTGGCCACAAGTACTGTGGCGGACGTTGTGTTTGGTCAGGCTCGTAAGGCAAGTTCCGGCGACCGTTTGAAGCAAATTCCCTACCCCAACAGCTTTGTAGAAGATGAAGCGCAAAATTGCAGCGTGCGGACTACTCTCTTGACTTTGAAGGTGATGCAGCGGTGTTTCGACCGTTGACTTTCTGCAAATCTGGGCCGAGTCCTGGCGAGAATGCTGGACATCGGGATCAGCTGCCCAGTTTGAAGTTACATGAGACATAGACAATCTGGACAAGCAGGGAGAGAGTGAGAGATCCCTCCGGCCTCAGAAAGGAAGAGAGAGAGGCTTTGGGGAACGACTGCCGAAACACTCTTCAAGCAAAACCGTAGGAACTAAGCGATTCCTGCGTGATGAGTCAATGAAACCCTCATTTCAACAGTTGTTTTGGTTGCGTGTGCTCTAGCGTTGCCCTGTGCAGAAGAAGCAGAAGAAGAAGGAGGAGAAGAAGAAGAACGAGACACAGAGAGCGGCTTTCCCACGTCGTTTGATATTGCAAGTTTTTTCTATCTGGTATTCTTTTTGTTGCCTTGTGGATCTCTTTTCCAGTGGGGAAGGATGACGCGACCTCACGGCACTCACAAGCTTTCAGGATCGTCGCCACTGGCCAAAGCCGCCTAATCCTGCAACTGAGCTGTTTCTGTGCAATCGGAACTGATGCTTCATATGGAGGCCAATGACAAATGGCAAACCTCAGTGCCACTGGCGACATCTAGTCACCATTGTATCGACTGCTTGTATTTTGTGTTCCCGAAGGTGACCGGTGTGCCCGGATCGAACGTACCTGCGGGTTTGCGGTGTTCGTGTGGCGATGTCCGATTACGATGATGAGTTTGGGGAAAGCATATGTGTAAACGCCCTGTCACTCCCCCACAACGTTTCGGGGGCGCCTGGAGCAAGGGAGGGAGGGCCGCACCCTCTCTTCTTACCATTGTGAAAGAGAGGACCTGTACCCTGAGCAAGCAAGCAAGCAAGACAAAGGGCGACAGAGAGCGACAGAGAGGAAGATATTTGGAATTCTTGTCAATGTCGAAAAATCTTTGCGGAACATGGAGTGACAGTGAGATGAAGTGAGGCTTGCAAGGTGCGGACATGTGGCTCGAATTCGGCATCCGGAGCTCACTTGGCGGGATGTGGCCAAGGCATGGAGTACATGCACCAACATGCGGCAGGCGTCCTGTCAGCGAGTCATCTCCGGTTTGCGGTAGGTGCTGGCCACACTCGACGACTGCCCGGTGTGGTGGTCAGAGGTGCCATGTACTGGAGCCGTGCCGTCCCATCGGCAGGGTCTTGCGCTGTGCGGTGCGCCGGGGCCGCACCTCGTCTTACAGGAAACGTTGCCGAGCCTATCAAAGTCTCCTGACACTCCGTGGCCCTGAGGCAAGAAAGAGCTGTACTCTTTGGCGGTAATACCTCGGTACGAGTTGCTGGTGGATGGCAATCTTCTCCAACTCTTTGCATGGTGGACCTCCCACCGGATGACTATGGTACTGCTGATGCCTCAGTTGCAAGATTTGCACCAGCCATGCAGAGCAAGCAGGTGCAATCACACTGCATGAAGTAAGGTGAAGTTCACAACCATAGAGCCCAGCAATCCTTCAACACCGTGGCCTTGTTCTCGTTGGGGCGCGACTCTCACAACGACTTCGCAAGCCCACCCTGCTGGGCCAGCATTACTTTGGGGTGGGTGGAGCCGTGAAGGTGACACGGACATTCCATGGATGCTGCGTTTTCAGCCAGATGGCCCACGGTGGAGTGAGCTTCGCTGCGAGAATCGCCCGCCGGCAGCTGCTTTCCACACGGCGACAGGTGCAATGACGGGACTGCTCATGACTGCTAGGACAGTGGGGGTGAATAGGCGTGGGGCAGACCATACATACAGGTTGCCGTGATGAACGCTCGCCAAGTTAGCACGGCAGCTGCAGACTTTGCCGCTGGAAACCGACATACTGAAAGGGTAACTGTGCAGTTCCGTAAGCGCTCGGCAGGCTTGCCGGACAAAAAGAGGTTGGCATTGGTTGGTGGTCTGGGAAACGGCAGTTCGCGGGATGCTGCAGCTTGGCCGAGAAGCAGTTTTTCTACGCAAATCCACTCGCCTAATTCCATGATGCAGCAGCACGGTGCTAGGTCTGGACCTTTGATTCTTCGACGGAACGGTTTCACAAGCTTTGCGATGGTGGACCTGCTCCAGCCGGGCATGTGGCAGCTGCAGATGATGAAGCTCAGCGCCTGATCGTGTGCTTCGGGGTGAGAAGGTCACAGTCGACTGCTGAGTCAGAGTGCGATCTGCTTACCAAGTCTCTTCTGATACACCATGCCTTTTGTGCTTCTGCATCTCGCCATCTGTGTTTGAACTCTCACCTTTGTGAGGCCTTTCGTTGAGGACAACTTCATGAAGACCACTAGCGTTCTGGACTTGAGGATGGGGCGCTGGGATCCTGATGCCTGGAAAGGTGTAGGAGACCCAAGTGATCAAGACGCCGCTCCTGCAGCCCCGTTGGCTCGCCGGATGCTGCCGCTGCATCCCTGGGGCACCGAATCATCGTCTCAGGTGGGTACAACGATGAAGAGTTCACATCTCTTGAAGACACATGGTCTTTCAACATGCGCAGCGGCATGTGGGCACAGATGGCTGAGCAGGGTGCGCCTCGCATGGAAGGCCATAAAGCCATCCTTAGTGGCTTAGACATGTTCACTTTCGGTGGTCATGCGCTGTTGGGTCGATTTCCACGCCCAACGGTTTCTGTACATAGACTGTCCTTAGGGAAAGCCGACCCGCTGCGACTGTTCTCTGACACTGATGAGAGCAGGCAGCTTTGCAGACCAGAGATGGATAACCCTTCACAGGGTTACCCCGTGCCAGGTCCAGAATAAACTGCGACAGCATAATCTGAGCATCTTCGCCGCTTCGGTACAAAAGAATCAAAAGAACTTGCGAGGTGGTGGTGGACCGGACCTCGTCAAGTACTCAGAAGCCCCGTGCGGGAAGTCTTGAACCATACTGGAATTGCCGTGACGCCCCGAGTCGGACCGCCTGGCAGCTTCGGCAGAGTACCGACGCTGGGTTCGGTTCCCGGAGTTGGAAGCCTACAAACTGTTCACTTCCTGGCATGTTCTCGCGAGGTCAAGGAGGTCGACGTGGCGCTGGGGTCTGCAACCCAGAGCCCCAGCTGTTGCCTTGTTCAGACGCGACTCTCACATTCTTTCCTGTCTCTGGCTTGTTGCTTCGAGGTCCGGTGGGGCTTCCCGGGCATATTGAAGATGTGCCCACAGCATCGCTGCAAAGCATTCCAAACCCAAACCCTGTGCAACCCAGCTTCGTCAGCCAGGAAGTGCCTTCGTTTACCGAGCTGTGGATTGAGCTGAACAAGTGGGAGCCCTGCTATTTTGCACTTGAGCCGGACTTCCCATAGCGGTCTTGCGGCCGCAGGCGGCCAGCTGTGCAAGGCCACGAGCATCGCAAGATGGTTTCAGGCAAACAGGGATTAGTTCGAGACTGCTAGGACGATCCCGGTCACCCAGATCATCCAGCGATCCCAGAGCAAGGTGCTCCATTTTCCTTAAAGGTCCAAGCCTCGCATGCTCCGTCCGTGAAGGTTTGATGGTTGGTCGCAGGGGAGGAGGCCCCCAAAACAGCAGCCTTGGCGCAAGTAAATCAGAAATTGGATGGGCAGGTCAAGGTGGCATTCGGCGCAGGAGGCTCTCATGTTCTTTCCAGCGAAATCGAAAAAAAAATTGGCGACTGGGGACAGTGCAGAGCAGCGAAGGGAGAGACAGGGGCTAGGCCCAAAGGAGACAAACCACGACAGAACAGGCCGAACACGCTTGGTCCGAAACCTCGCATGCATCCCAATATTGTCCCTTTCTTGCACGAAGGCGTTGCAACTGCTCCTCGACAGCTTGAGCCAATTCGAGGCAGGGCCCAGATACAGATCGGCCGCAAGAGGGTCATTTCAAGAGATGCAGCTTCTTTTGCATGGATCCGTGGGGCACTGGGTGCTACGCTGGCAGGGATAAGAACTCGGAGGATCTCTTCTCCAAGAATTCGCAGAAAGGCTAAGCTACGTAAGCCATGAGTACAGGGTTGAGTTCTATATCACGTGTTACCATGGCATACAATCTACGATCTCTCGTCCATTGCTGAACTTAGTCGCTGCGCCAGGGCCGTGCGCTAGGAAGTCGAGTAAAGTCTTTCATGGATCAAGCCTGCAGCACTCTTTCCGAGTCGTGTCGCTGGCGAGCGCTGCAGGCATCTGCAAGCGGGAGATCAATCACGGGACAGGAGCTGTCTGCTTCCATGAGGCCACATGACCGTTGCTGCGAACCCTGTGCCTGTGTCTCCTTGTCTCTGCGTTGGATCTTGGGCCTGAGAGGAAGCATAGCCGAGAATTTTCGATCCAGAAAACTCCCTTCGAAAAGCTTGGGAAGCTGTCCAGCCCCCAAATCTTGCCACCACAGGCCGTTTCCAGCAAAGCGGTCTGGCTCCTTCTGGTTTTTGATCGGTTCCGATTTGCCTGAGGTTGCAACTGGCTGCACAGGCAGATGGGCAGGGTGCGGCAGGACAGTTGGGTGTGGGATGGCCTCAGCCTCCGGTCACAGGATGGTTGGATCCGGCTAACATGGACGGGTGACAGCATGTCCGCAAGCAGCCCAGCATCAAGCAGCGGATGGCTGCTTTTTGGCTGGGCGATTGCCCAAAGGTGCAGATTCTAGACCTACCTACGAATGGTCCTGCTCTCGGGCAGTTCCAGAGCACCCAACTAAACTCAAGTTCTTGGAAGCGATCAGGAGTGGCGAACCTGGCTAATGCTTGGGAGCACGAGAAGGACGGCAGAACCACGGACCGCTGCAGGATCCGCTGTTGGTCAACTTCTGCCATGTGCAGGACGTTGGCATCAGACTGGAGCCTGCGAGACCACCGATTCTGAGGGAAGTGCGAAGAGTCGACAGGGTGCAACATGTGGCGCCGCAGCCCCGCATTGAGAGCCGTGGCAGCAGAGAGCCATTGCACGATGGTGCGATTCGGCTCATCAGGCTAAAACCAGCGCCTTATGCGGCCCCTTTAGCTGACATTGCCCGGAGCCCAGTTGTTGGCAACTAGTTCCTGTAGCTCAGAGATAGGCCGACAATGTGAGAAAGCCGAAACCCCACAACTCCAAATCCCTAAACTCCCAGACTTAATACCCTCAGCCGGAACCCTCAATCCCGGGCCTTTCGGGAAGCTTTCACACAGGCTCTCTCAGGTCTTTGGTTGCAGGGTGCCGGGGGGTCGGGTGTCGTGAACCATTTGTTGCACTGCAATCCGATCACACCAGAACCCAAACACACGTCAGCAACCACAGTTTCCCCAAGCCTCCGTAAGCCTGCAGTGCCTCACCCCCCCAGTGAACCCAGCCCTCTTCAGAACATGAGAATATCCAGAGCCTGCAGAGCGGAGCCTCATTTCGGTGCAGGGCGGCTTCCCGCACCTCAGACAACGAGCTGTGGCTCGGCTGTCAGCGTGGCGGGCTAAGTGACCAGCAAAAGCTTTTGCTTCGTATGTGTTCACTGGTGATGAGCTCTGCCGTAGCCTCGAAAAGTAATCCGCGACGAAGCGCTTTCTGTCAAGGTCTGAGCTGGGAAAACTGAGACCCGTGACGCCGGAGCGTCACTGTCCCAGACCGTGGCCGATTCATGTTGACACTCTTGCTCCCAACTGCGACTAGCAAGTTTGCTGTTTTGGTTTGGCTCAAGAAGTGTTGGCTGGTTTGTCATACTTCCACCGTTGGGTTCCGAAGCCATGGCAGGTGGTCGCACAAAGCGTGAGACCAAAACAGGCACATCCAATGCCGCTTCAGCAACTTGGCGAAAGCCCGCGGGTGGGACATGTAACACCTCATGGCGGAACCAAGGCCTCAGCGGCCCCACTCTCTCGTGAGGATGCCCTGCAAAGCTTGCAGCAGGCATTCGAAACCTTGAAAGCCTTGCCACAAGGCGCTCGGATGCAGATAGCTGCTTTTCTTGACGCGGGAAGTGTTCGACTTGTGGCCGCCTCATGCAGGCAAGGGAGACCTGGACTCCGCACGCGCCCTCTGCCAGCCAAGCGTCATGCGCCATGCCAGCCCAGAGGTGCGGCTTTGGGCCGCGAAGTGCCTTGCGGAGGTGTGGCAAACACCGTGCTACTGGACACGGTCTCAATGTCTGATTCTTCAGCTCCTGTCGGATTTTGATTATAATTATAGTCGCTCTTGAGATGGAGCTCGAAGTGCAGGGGTTGCAGGGAGCAAACTGGGTCTGGGGCAAGCAAGACTCCGGCACGGTGATGATATCCAGATTTTTTTACATTATATGCTTGCGACGATGGACGGCATGAGGCTAAGCCTAAAGCTTCCAGAACCACGTTGCCTGTGATTTTGGTCAGACGGTCGGACCGCTCTCCCCAGTGTGCGACTTGCCTCTGTAAAAACGTATTCTTGTAGGTTTGCATTCTTATGTAAATATGTAATTGTAGCTACGCAGGTATGTTTGTACCCCGCTCTTCTCTCTCTCGCTCTCTTTCTCTCCCCCTCCCTCTCCCAACATGTTCGCATCATTGCGGCCGCTCGTCTGGCGAGCCCCTGTCCCGACGATAATCATCCCTGGGGTGATGGACAACATGTGCTAGCAGCTGCTACCAGTCACTTTAAAGCCACGAACATTGAGATTAGGACGAGCGAGCTCAGCAGTAGAATGTCGAGAACGGAGGTGCTTCGCATCTTCGTGCCTTCCCCGCCCTTTGAGACAGAGAGGCCGGACACGGAACACGGAAACCAGCGCCCCCCTCCCCCCCCTCTTTGAACCATCCCTCTTTGACGTCCGTGACCAGGTTTCGGCCGATCCTGGAGCTTTTCTTGGAGCAGCTGGCATCCTTGAACCCATCTACACAGACCTACGCTTACTCCTTCGGCCTGCTGGAGCGCCTCGAGGAGGCCCACAGTGCAGGTTTTGCCGTAAGTCTTTCTCCCTTTCACAAGAGTCCTTCAGATCCGCGGCTTCATGCTGGTCTTCGACTGTGCCGCTTCCGATGTGGAGAGCCTGATCATTTCCTTGGCCAAGACCTGCATCGGTGCAGCGAAAGCCGCACGACAATCCGGCAGGATTGGTGCGACCGAAGATGCGCAGCGGAGACTGGAAGCGCTGCTGGCACGGTTGCTCTCAGACGTTCTGCTGGAGGACCGGGGCCCGGCTGTGATGTCTTGCCGAGTCCCTAAGCCCCAAGCTCCCCTCGTTTTCCGAGGCCGACGAAGTTCCGCAAGCAGTCCTGGAGCAGCTCCTGGAAGAGATAGTGGAACGGAAGTCTCCCGGAGCGGCGATGGTGAGACAAGTCCTTTCAAACTTCACTACCTTCAAGAGCCAGCGTGTGGCGCTTCCATTGAACGACTTGCTGAACAAGAGCTTGTTCCTCTCGGAGGATGACCAGGCAGAGCTGTCACAAGATCGACTCGAGGGACTCCTCAATGCAACTTACGAGCTGTACTGTATCCACCCGTCTTTGGTGGTGCGGGTGCTTCCCAACTTACATGCAGACTTGCAGTGTGCGAAGCCTGACAGACGGAGAGCGATCACGGCATTCATTGCACAGCTGCTGGCACATCAGCACACGGATTCTTCCGGAGCCGCTTCCTGTGGCATGGCCTTAACTTCATCTTCAGGCATTGCAGGGCTCGTGGAGCGTTTTCAGGATCGCCTCGCTGATGCTGATGACAGAGTTCGCATGACAGCCTTGGAAGGGGCATCTGCCGTGCTGCAGTCCGTGGTGGCGACTGGTTGCCAGGAAGATGACCCTGCCGGGTCTGCAAGTATGGCAGCCGCAGAAAGCATCCGAACCAAGGTGGCACACAGATGCCTGGATCCGAATGATGCCGTGCGACTCCGGGCTGTGGAAATCTGCACACACATTGCCCTCGCCTCCGATGACGGTTTGGCATTCATGTTGCCCAACTTGCCCGAAATCTGCAAGAGGATCCTGGACAAGAAGCCTCGGATTCGCGAAGCCTGTGCGCAGGCCTCTGCACAGCTCTATGCGCAGCATGCCCTGCCTCACTGGCTTAAGGGTGAAGGGCAAAAAGCACAGAAATTGTGCTGGATACCTCAACTTCTGTGTGAAGCTTATTCAGTGTTTTGTGGCGCGCGCCTGGGCTATGTTGCGCAGATTGAGGAGCTCCTCGAACAGCACCTTTTAGGCTGCGGCGCGGGTTTGCCACAGGACCAGCGCGCCCTTGCTTTGGTCGGCCTCTGCAGCTCGGCGCTCGGCGGCCCCGAGGCGGCAAGGCAGGGGCTGGGGATGCTGCTGTCCAAGAAGCGGGATGCCCACAGAGCCCTGCGCCGCTTTGTCCGGGCGCGCCTTGAAAATGCGGCTCCGCTTGGAGAAGCTCGAAGCTCAAGCCTCCTTCCGGGCGAAAGCAACGAAGGCGGGACGCCGGCCGTTCCTTTCGCGGATCTCTTCGAAAACCTGGCAAAGTGGAGTCCCACACTGGACGACAAGTATGCAAGGCCGGAGGCACTCGGACTACACTTACGTTCACTCGATGCTGTCCGGGATAAGACGCTTTGGGCTCATCTGGATCACTTGCTTGATCATGATATGCAGGACAGCACGTGCAAGATGTCCGAGCAGGTCTGTGAGCTTGACCGGCTTCTGCGAGTGCATCGGCTGGGGGAGATCGCTCCCCTGATTCGTCGAGCCCTGATGGCTACGTGGCTGCTTCCCGATCAGGTCGCAGCACTCCTGGATGTTTGGACCGGGCAGGCCGGGGAGGAGGCGAAACTGGCTCCGGACATGGTTGCGGCAGCCCGCACAACCGTGGCCTACCTGCCGCAGTATTTCGTCGGGGCATTCGTCCCCTTCGTCGGCGAGATGGTCAATCTCCTACAGGATTGCAGCCAGGAGGACGCTCAGACCATTCTGCAAGCATTGAGCCGACTTCAGAAGCAAATGGTCTGCCTGGATGGCATGTCTCAAAAGCTTGATGAGACGGGTCTTCCTGAGCTGCTGCTCGAAGCGTTGCATGTCATGGTCCCTCCTTTTCAAAGCTCTGCACGCAAGTTTGTCAGAATTCTGCTGCTGCTCTCTGACGACTGCCGTGCCTCGGTGGTCCAGCAGCTGCTCTCCTGGGCAGACGGTTACCTTCGGGGCGGAGGCGAAGACTGCGAAGGCGAAGTTGAAGCGGGCTCCACGAGGATCGTTGCCCTCCATCTTGCAGCTGCCATTTTGGAAAATGCCGCCGACTGCGGCGAAGCCTGCCGCGACTATGACTGGAAGCCCCTTCTCGAAATCGCCCAGAACATTCTCCTGCACCCACCTGCCGGAGCCTCCGAGTCTGAGTCGTCACTGCAACTGCTGCAGTTTGCGGCAGCGGAGGTCGTGGCGGCAGGCAGCACTGCCTCTTTCTTGGCATCTGTGATGCAAGGATTCCGGTCTTCCATGCAAGGCTCTACGGCTATTGTCCCCGTGACCGACACCAGTCAAGTCTCATCGGACGGTCTTCTTTTGCATCTGGCCTGTGCCTCACTTCGAAGCTTACGGCTTGGCTGCGTGGAGCTCTCATCGGCGTTGCTGGCCCAGCTGTCAGAGACGTGCGGTGATTTGGTGGCAGACGGGCGTCCTGCGAGTGACGGTGACACGCTGCTCCATGCCCTCCAGAAGTTCCAAAAGCATGCGAAGTTGAAGATTGCAGACCGTGCCTTGGCGGCTGTGTGCTGTGACGAAGCCCTGCGAAGTGTCGCATAGAGCGTCCGAGAGAGTGAGCCTAGCACGAGGATTGCGACTTTGCACCACCTTGCCATCCATCTTCTGCTTCGGCCAGAAGAAGCACCGGGATGCGGGGCAGAAGATGCTGCAGGGCTGGCTGCGTACCGCCCAGCAAGGCCTTCCACGGCATTTGCGAAGCTTGATCACGTGGATTGCTGCGAGGCTCTCAACCAGGCTTGCTGGACTTCTCCGTGGCGTGCTTCGTGCATTTCCTGTCAAGGCTTCAGCACGTTTTTGCCGTCGTCAGCTGCCATCGCGTGATTCTCGGAGGCTTCAGATCTTCGAACGTGAGGCAGCAGCTGTGTCGGCTTTTCCAGAAAGCAGCAAGGCAGGGGGCAAGGTCTTTCCCGGCTTCCCTCGTCGCTCGCATGCAAAGCTCCAAAGGCTTATCCATGCTTATGTGTTACTAACTGCTGCGATAGGCGCTGCTTGTAACCGGTTGGCCGACTGCGGCTGATGTTGCTGCATGTTTGAGCCTGCCCCGGGGAGATGATAAGTTGAAGGAGCCAATTCCGCACGAAGGCTGTCTTCACAGGCTTAGGGCTCAACGCAGGAATACAGGGATGCCGGATTCGTGGATTCAAGTGGGTTGTTGACCAAACATCAACTATGCAGCACGGTTCGGATGCTGTTCATTCGGTCGCGGTACAGAGTGGAAACATCTGCAAAATGGTTGGGTGCGAAGCACAGTCTTTCGCAAGGGAGGTGAATGCCTTGCATGGGACATAAGGGGGAAAGGAGAACGGGAACCGGTTGGTTGTTCTGCAAACACCTGCAACTGGGATTGCGCATTTTCTCCACCCCTCGATGCTGGCTGAACCTATCGTTCATGTTCTGCAGTGAGCAGAAGCTGTTTGCACAAAGACTGTCGGCGAGGCCCAGAACAGCTTAGGGCTGCCATCCCATGCACAAGCAACTCCTTCCTGAATGGCCTATTTCGATGCTGATGCTGAAGGCTTGAACCCTCCAGGCCTGTATCCCGCTCAACAGGTGTCCTGCTTCTTCTGCGAAGCTCTGCTGCACTGCGACTCTCAGGGTGCCGAGCTCCTCGGAACGGCTCTGCGGGTCTGCGACCGTACCCGTTATTTTGTCGATCGCGAGGCGGGCGGGGAACCCATGGTGTGCCGGGCCTGTAGCAGTAGCACCTAGACCTAGGATGTTACGCCGTTACGCCCGCTGCCATACTGGACCTCATGACACAATGCCTGGAGGACTGCACATCCTCGGTGAGGACCGCTGCCAGCGTTCTACGGTATGTTGCCGAGAAGCGTTGTCCCGAATTGGGTTTACAAGCTGCAGCATTGCTGCAGGGAGCTGACTCTTGGCATAAGTTCATCGTGTGGCTGCGCATTGGCAGCTGTGCTGAATGCATATCAGTCGGATCCTTCCCACATCGTGTCAGGCTCGAGGCAGCATGCCCGCCCAGCTCTTTGCAGTTGACCCCATCGTTGAGCAGCGTTTGAATGCGGCCATTCTAAAGGATCGCCACAACGAACAGGACCGCCCAAGACCTGAAACCCTGAACTTGTAGCCTGGCACCGGCAGAGCCCAAAAGCTAGTTTCCGTCGGGAGTTCTCTCGTCTTGGCTAGTGGCAGGAGCGGGTGCCGGAGACGCCAGCCCTGCAAGATGTGGGGCAAGCATCGGATTCTTCACCGCAGACTCAGGCAGTGCTTCTGCAAGTGCTTCTTGCCATTGTGTGTGTGTGTGTGTTTCTGCGATCTGGTTCCTGATTCAGCAGGTGCTCAGAGTGCCCGAAGCGTCCATGCTGGAGGATGCTAGTGCCTAGAGCCCAGCTGTCAGATTCCTCGCCTCAAACCGACGCTGCGCAGTTGCTGCTGCGTGTGTTGTTGTCTGGCTTCAGCGTTTCGCTTTTGAGTTACACTGTCGATGCCAGCCCCTCCTGCACTGCTACCAAGGTCCTCACCACGCCCCAGCGACGGCCTAGTCTCCTGAAACGGGGCTCTGGATCCTCACCGCAGACGCCGAGCCCGGGACACTCGGCGAGGTGTCGGTGTTTGGACCTGGACATCAGATTCTGTCCGGAAGGGACCTTTAATTTGGGCTGTGGTGAAGTCCAATCCCTTCTTTCCGGGCTCTCTGCGCGGTGCAGCATCCGAGGCAGCAACAAGCGCAGCCTCACAGGTGGAGCCGTAAGTGCCGCCCTGGCGGCGCAGTCCTCGAAGAAAGCCAAGAAGCAGCGCAGGGCATGCTGAGGGAAGCAAGTTGTCTGGTCTCTAGGTCCTATATCGGGCGGAGGCAAAGGCTTCGGGGCAGATGTCCAGACTTTGAAAGCTATGCGTTTCACTTAAAAAGGATCCAGCTTGAGCTGGTGTTTTGGCCGGGAGTGCACTGGCTTTGCAGTGTGGGGCATCGCCAGTGCCGGGCTGCCCGAGCACCAACAACTCGGATCCGCTCCAGTGAAAGGCGTTGCCAGATGACACCTGCTTATGTCTGTCATGAGCTGCTGCTTCTCAGCCAACGTGATGAATGATAAGCTAAAGACGAGCGTGGCTGTCACTCCGTTCTGGTTCTTGTAGGCCGTTCGATAGAACTTCGAGCTCGAGAGGTGCGGCACCATGTTTTGTGCACCAGCAGTCGCACGACGCGTGCAGTGTAAAATTTGCTGTGTCCTCGAGTTGTTATGCGGCTGCCGAGGTCAAACATCCAAACGGGGTGCTTACGCGGCGGGATGAACACCGTCCAGACCGTGAGCGCCGTGGGCTTTCCCGTTTGCAATCCTTTGAGAGGTGTGGGGGGCCGGTTGGCGTCTGTGTCTATCAGGTCCATCCGCCTTCAATCGACGGAGATCTCGTTCAAGGCACCGAGAGGCCACATATGCCATCGCTGCAGCCGCGCGGTAGTATGGTATCCAAGGACTTCTTCTGTACCCTTGCCAGGTGTCTTTACATCGGTTTCGAGGCCAGCTTTGCTCAAATCGTCTTGGCTGCGTTGGAATGGTTGAGTAGTGTTACAAAGAAGGATCAGATTCGTCCAATACCACCGCTGGACTTTCACGGCTGAGCCCACGCTGTTGAAAACATGGTTGTCTATAGCACGCCGGCCGACCTAGTTTGCAGAAGTCACAGTAAAGTTTTTCGAGGTCCCTGTCAAAGGGATGTTGAGCAGCACCTCGGGATCCATTCAGGTGTGCCCTTGCCTCCATGAAATATCATGAAATAAATGTTTGAGTTTGCTTTGCTCAAGCCTGGTGCCTAGATGCGAAACTTGCATGTTACAGAACTGGATCAGCCACTTCGTCAAAACTTCGTCAGACGTCCTCCTTTCTACTCGTACCTGATTGACTGATGGTCGGGACCCTCGCCACTACGCAGAACAGTCCCTTCCCGACCCAGATCCACCCAAAACCTGACAAACGCCCAAACTCTGCCTCAAGGTACCATAAGACCATAGTGCAAAGAAGATGTGCCATGCATTGGACGTCGGATCTTGGAGAGGCCGAGCTGCGGCGCCGCCTCTCTCAGGTGAGAAAACTTGGGGGATTTCACCAGGGCGGAGTTTCTACCTTTAGGAAGAAACGGCAGCAGGAGACGGAGCAGCGAGAAGCTCTCCTTCATGCGCTGCAGCGGCTCTGTCGATCGGCGGAGTTCTGCCGAGACCGCTTATCGGTGGGGAAACCGGAGCTGCGGCCGATCCTGGACGCACTCCGCCCCGTCGAGCTGCCTGGCACAAGCTGAGTCCAGCTAGCTGCTACCTTTAGCTAGAGACCCCTCCTAGTGCAAGCAACAAAGTTAGAAGACGGACTGCTAGATACTCGTACCGCGAGGCTCGATCTCCAGGAGGCCTCCAAGGTTTGTGCTCTATCGGCACCCACGCAGGCCACGCAGGCTTGGCGTGGCGTGTCCACAGGAGAGACTTGGACTCTTGGATTGCGGTAAGCTTCCCCAAGCTTGCGCAAGAGAGGATTTCGTGATGCGAGGAGCGGGATTTTTAGGGGGCACTATGTAAGGGTCTCCAGTCGGGAGATGCCGCAGGCCGGGGCTGCCGGAAGCTACGATGTGCTGCGGCAGTCCCTGCAGGCTCTTAGCGTCTTGGAGTGCTGGCTGCGGAGTTCACGCCTTCAGCTTGGATCTGAGCTGATCGGGTGAGCGCAGGACATGCAGCAGAAGTGCGAGGAGCTGAGTGCCAACTTGCGCAAAGAGACGGAAGCTAGTGACGTCCTGGAGCAGAGTCTGGCCAAAGCACAGGCAGGAAGCGTCGGAAGCATTGACCCGTCCTTGTCGCGAGATGTGCCGCGCCTCCGAAGGCACGGGTGCGTCGGCTGGACGACCAGGTCCAAGCTCAGGAGTTCCTGGCCTCGCGCCGTTCTTCTTCGGTTTAGGGCTTGGATTGTGACGCTCGATCGAGAGCGCCTGCATGAACGCGATGACTCCACTTCATGCCTGGTAGCAAGATGATCCCTCACAGCGTGCTTCCAGGGATGCCCTCATCTTCGCAGTGAATCTCACCTCCACCACAGAGTCGCTCTTGAAATGACCCTTTCAGCAGGAGGCCGTGTTGGACCTTCAAAGGAAGGAGCAGGCCTTTCAAGCAGAGCCGTAGCTGCAAGGCCTTCGTTCCCACAGCGTCTTGGTCTTCTTTCGCATCCTGAGCCCACCTGAGGAAAACCTGGTGGAGCTGCAGAGAAGATCCCGATCAGAGGCACATACTGCACATACTGTAGTCGCGACACTCGTTGGCCTGCATGTGACACTGCATGGACCTCGCATGCCGGCATCCGCACCGAGCAACGGTCTGTATGTGGGCGTGCTTCAGCAATTGAGTCTTCTTGAGGCAGAGGCCCGGGAACGAGAACTTCGTCTTCGGCAAGAAGAAGTCCCTAGACAAGCATTGGGCGCGTCCTCTCTCGGATTTTCCTTGCCAGCTCAAAGCCTGACCCTGCTCACATTTCACTGCAATTCGCACTTAGTGTTTGCAGCCCGCTGCTTGCAGAATCAAGGCTTTGAAGCAGCTCGCTGCAAGAGAAAGCCGGACTTCGGCACTCTTGGCCGAGAAGATTCAGAGGCTTCAGAAAGGCCTCAGGTCTGCACAGAAGTCGCTGTCTGGTGTCCGACGCTTGGAGGCATCGGCAGTTGCCTTGGGGCTGCACGATGCCAAATTGACTTCTTGCCTTTACAGCGAGGAACTTCTTTGGACAAAGCAGCAGCGGAAGCCCGACTGCGAGAGTACCTGGATGAAGCGGCTGCGGCGGAGCAGAAGATTTGCGAGAAGCTGAAGCTCTGCTTGCTGCCCGCTTGCACTCCATCCAGTCATACTTCGTGTGACCTCCTTTTCGGCACCTGCCCTTGCCAGGCGGGCGCGGCACTCGCGGCAAGCGGGCTTGGAGGGCCAGCTAAGCGAATTGCATATGCAAACAGCTGCCCAGCAGAAGAGGCACCAGCAGGAGTGCCCCACATCCTGCCTGTAGTTGGAGCATGACCCGTACACGCCCCTGTGTTTTTCTTCACTTTTCAACTGTTCGACTCGGTATTTGGCGAGGTTTCTGTTGTTTGGAGCACTTCGGATT